GGCTCCATAACTCCACCTTTCTCTGAGGGAGTCGGGCCAGACTAGAAAACTGAGACATTCCAACTCACACTCAGAAGGCCTACAATTTCCTTCAAATTTCTTTTGCAAAACTGAACTTTGCTTTATATTTGAGTATGGCATACCCAAGTGGGACTTAGTGGCAAGGACTTTGGGGGAAATGATTTTGCCTTAACTTTTCGCACGAGCTTGTAATCATCCATATACAACCAAATATCATTGGAGTCTTGAATTGCCCATGATACAACAAATATTATTGCTACTCTAAGATTATGAGCGTATTTCTGTTTTTTCAGGCGCTGGAAATTGGACTGGTACATGCACAACCGGAAAAAAGCAATCACCGATTAACATAAAAATGGCTACAACAAAATATAAAGGGATGCCTAAATTTGCTCTCAAAAATTACATGATGCCTAACGACAAATATACCCCCACTGAGAGCTTTTTTTATGTGGCCACCAAAATATTAGTCATCGTTTTCTTTCAAGTCGTGTCCTGAGTCATTCATCTGTTTATTGATTCAGTTATTAAATTTACACACGTTAATTCGTTTATTCTCTAATTCATTTCTCGTTCTGCAGTTCGTGATCGTATCCCGTACTAACCTATATGTATTTCCACACAGCCAGACGTTTCTTCATCATTTCTCAAACTAATGGCCATCAATACACGGATAAACGATACTCAATCAAATAAGTGGTCGTTCAGAGTGTCGTCTATACCAGAATTTTATTTTACCTCACACCATCACCTCTAATTGAAACATAAGGACGTAGGATTTAAGAAAGTGATGTTAAAGTTCCTGATCGTGAAACAAATTCTCTAAGAGAACATGCACTCTGATGTCAGGGTGTAAAGAGTTCAGTAGTTTCCTAATGTTTGGGCAGGCAGACGTTCATCGGAGGAGCGCAACAACTTTCCTGTAATTGACTGCGCAGGAGATAATAATTAGAGAGATTTGAGCTGCTTTAACACTTGTGCGCGTTACGACTTTGCTAACGAGTTTTTATATTAATACTCACAGCATCGAATAAGACTAGTATTATGCCATTCAAGCTGGAACCGATGTTGCCAGACACACGCGACAAGTTTTTCCGTTACAATGAATCTTTAACTACTCCCACTTTTGATGAGAGTGTCACTTGAACAGTCTTTAACGACAGCGTCAAAATATCACAGACTCAGGTATGTTCGTTGATTTTGATTCTTTGACCGCTACGAGTGGCGACGCCAAGTGAAACGAAAGTTTTTAACTTTGTAAATATTTGTGAACATTCGACTCGATAATTTATTGAGCTCTCTTGAATTGTGTCGTATTTTTAACCCTCTTCCCTCCATTACTGGTGTTGCTTTCGACTCCCCCCTAAAATTGCAAGTTGAGGTATGGTTCAAGAACAAAACTAAAGGAAGACACCTCTTTTCAAGATCTCTTTTCTTCGAGTCTTCGGTCGTAACTTCTTTTAAGAAATAAATTCATCACAAGATGAACAATAC